TATGGTTCTGCAAATACTTATGGCGTGCATCCTATACATGAGGTGTGAAAGACTACAGTCCTGTGCTGTAAGTGACATTTCAGTCAATGACGGACTACGAACGCAACTACATGCACAACCGTGGCCCCATAAAATTATAATGGAGCCAAAAATTCCTATCACCTAGTGGCACAGTAGCTGCTACAACATCACAGTGCAATGCGTCTTCCAATATCTGTGGTGATACTAGTGGAAACAAAACTACTGTGATGCCAGTTGTACAAAAACACAGTATGAGGCCGGGGATGTAGCTCAGCAGCACAAGCGCCTGGCAGGCAAGTGCAAGGTCCTGAGTTCGATTCCCGGTACCAAAAAAAAATAGATTGAAGGGGGGTGGATTTTAAGGGAAGTTAATGGCCATGTGCCTTTCACTGTAATAAAGTTTCAATTGAAACCCTGAAGTTTTGCTCGGCCCACATACAAATTCAGCCCCTTCCATGAGTGCTACGCTGTCACACTCCTTGCGCTGTCTCAGCTCCCTGACAACAGCGGAGACCCCGCCTCAGCTCAGACTTGGAACCGCAGGGAGGTTTAGTGACCAAATTGCAGAGCTGGTGAATTTTGCGGCTGGGTTTTAAAGTATTATCTTTTAGATCGTGTCACGCTCCTATAATTCTAGGACTCCCGGAGCCAGAGGTAGGAGGATCTCAAGTTTGAGGGCAGCTCATCACCTTGGCAACGTAGTGAGACCCTGCCTCTAAATAAAAATTAAAAAGGGGCTGGAGATATGGTGAAGTGAAAAGGCCGTGGGTTCAACCCGAAATATCAACCAAAAAGAAACCGTGATCTGCTAGCTCGAGCATTCTCTCCTCCATGTATCCACAAGACACAGTTGCCAGTGCCCATAACACCCTTGGCACCAGCTTAATTCTCCTTGCTGGTGTACAGTAATCAGCAGCCATCTCCATTGCTTTTTTTTTGGAGACAGGGTTTCACTATGCAGCCCAGGCTGGCCTTGAATTCTCAGTGATCCTCCTGCCTCAGCCTCCCAAGTGCTGATATTACATCAGTGAGCCACCAAGCCTGGCTCCTCCATTGTTCTTTGGGTCCCTTTCCTAGGTATCTCCACCGAGGAGAAATTCAGGCTCTGGAAAGGCTTTCTGTGTCCATCTCCCTGGCCCTCTCCACCTCTCCACCAAGTTCCTTCTGGCCCTTCTGGCGTGAGGCCGCCACCTGAGGACACTGTGGCACTAAGTGTTCTCTCTGGTGGGGTTGAGCTGCAGCCAGCGGGCCCAGAGCAGTCACCTGCTTTCCTCCTGCAGAAATAGAACCCTCAAGAAGACGGTGCTGAGGTGGGAGGAGCTCCTGCGTTTCCCCTGCCCAGTGCTGACTTGCGTGACTTCCAACTCCAGGCACGGATCTGCCTCTTAGGCCACTTGCTGGCAAAATGGCGAAGGTGTGGCCATGTTGTGGGGACAGACGTCGCTGCAGGACCCTTTACGTTTGGGGAGCTTCATTCCAATAGATGCAAGCTACCTTTCATGCAGAGGAGTGCAAGCATTTTAAATGAGTAATTAATGAATTTTGACCTTCAGAAAAAGCAAGAATTATTACCTTCATTTTATAAATAGATGACAGGTCACACAGTCAGCGGTAGATGTGGGAAACAGGGGTAGGAATTCTGCTGTCATCCCCCTCCGGAATCACTGACAGACCTGAATTCTGCTCTCTGACTCCAGCCAAAGACAGGGAATTGGCCTTTGTGTGCTTCCACTTAAAGGTCTGAATTCTATGTATGGTTCGTATGCCTTTGATATGTCTGAAATTTATAAAAGAAAGGAAGAAGAATGATATCTGATGCTTTTCAGAGATGCATCGGGACTGAGCTTTATATTGTGGGTCAAATGCCAATAAAAGGGTGGAAAAAAAAAAAAAAAAAAGAGAAAAACTCGGTCATCAGATCTTTAGGAGGCTCACTTTTATTCTTTCTCTGAAAGGACTTTCAGTTAAAATTAAGCACAATGTATCTTTAGGGACCAAAATAATTGTTGTGAGGACGCTGAAAGTCCCCATTTATTGAGAGTCAACGATGCACTAAGTCAGTATCCCACGTTCATATCTCTTTTGTCACACGGTTCTCACAAATAACCTGCAAGGTTTTTCTTAATTATTTTGTAGATAATCTAACTGGCCTCAAGATAAAGATAAGTTGAAGAGAACAAGGGGTTGAGAGAAAGAGAAATCTCAATGAATATTAATTAAATGGAAGTTATTGGATGCATATTCTAGATGTTTCGTTAGCTGGGTGTGGTGGTGCAAACCTGTAATCCCAGCATTCAGGAGGCAGAGTCAGGAGGATCACTGAGAGTTCAAGGCCATCTTGCACTACATAGCAAGACTCTGTCTGAAAATGGCATGGGCCAAATGGCATTTTGTGGCGCCAGGTGTTAGAGATACAATGATAAATAAAATATCACCAGGTCGCACTGACCACCTTGTGGAAAGTTGAGGGTGAGGGGAGACAAACTTAAAACAAACAAAATAATGTCAGTTATCACCGGATTTGAGTCCAGAAGTATTTACTGGGTTCCTGCTCTGTGTTAAACACTGCAAGCATTGCTAGGAAAGGTCCTTCTTTTCATAATGCTTATAATCTAGTAGAAAGTCAGACATTAATCCAATAATCACACCAATTTAAAATTGCAGTTAAGGGGCTGGGGATTTAGCTCAGCGGCAAAAGCGCCTGCCTGGCAAGCGCAAGGTCGTGAGTTCGGTTCCTGGTACCGGAGAAAAACCAAAAAAAAATAAAAAAATAAAAAAAAAATAAAATTGCAGTTAAATGGAATAGAAGATACCAGATGGGCCACAGCCTAAGGATTAGTATCCAGAATAAATAAAGAACTCCTACACATGATAAGAGATAATCCAGTAGAAGCACTGTCAAATAAACCAACAGGCAACTTGAAAAAGAGGCAAGGCAAATGGCCAATAAACAAAGCAAGGACGCTCCGACTATCTCACTTGTAAACAAGGAATTTCAAATTAAAACACTGAAATGCCATTTCACACCCATCAACTTGGCAACAATTTTGAAGTTTGACATTACCAAGTGTTGTTGAGGGTGCAGAATACAGGAACTCTCGTACATTGCTATAGAACTGTGAATTAGTGCAACCACTTTGAAAAACCATTTAGCCATGCCGACTACAGCTGCCAATTTGTCTTCAACCCAGTATATCCCACACTCAAACGTCTACCCAGAAGGTTCACTTTCACACAGCGCAATGGTGTAAAAAATAGTAATTGAAGCATTGCTCCTAATAGGAAAAAAAAAAAAAAAAAGTGAAAATAAGCTGAATGTCCTCCAGAAGGAAACTGGTAAATAAAATAAGCTGAACTCGTAGAATGAGGCCCCAATCAGCAATGAAAATGTCTGATCTAGAACTATATGTATCAATGTAGATGCATTTAGAAATCATACTGCCCGGTAAAAAAAAGTTGCACGATTATATATTTAGTATACTGCCATTTCTTACAAGTTAAAAAAGAAAAAGAAGCCAAACAATTCTATAAAGAGCTTCCGGCCAAGAGATACGCAGTAAAAACACAAAAGTATAGCGGGGAGTCACGAACCCCAAAGGCTTGGAAGTGTTTACTACAGGGGAGGGATGGAATGGGTTCAGAGGACTCCTCTAGACCTAGAAGGCTTTTTGTCCTGTTATAAAGACTTGAATTCGAAAGGGTAAATGTTAATTGGTGACAGAGAAGGGGGAAAGGAGAACACAGCGACTACGCGAGCGCTGCTCCTCTCCGTCGTTTTGCATGCTTTCATTTTTTTATATTGACACTTCAAGCTCTCGAAGGAGGATCTGCGTGAGTTGGGGGGGCGGTGGATCTGGGAAATGAGGAGGAAACGATGCTGACTTAGGATGAGAGCGGAAAACTGAGGAGGGGAGGAAGGGTGGGAAGTCACTCCCAGTAGAGAAAGCAGCCTGTACCGAGGTCTGGGGTGGAAGAGCGACGACAGAGACCACTAGGTGCCCAGACCGGAGAGGAAGGGGCTGGAGTGGAGGGTGGGGCACAAGCCACAGGTCGTCCTGAAGTTCACCTCCCTCCCCAGATCGGAACAAAACCGGCAGGAGGCGCCGGACCACGTCCCTCCGCCACGAGCGGAAGGGGGAGGGGGCGTCCCAAAGAGTGACGCACAGCTCGGGTTCGGGAGGATGAGTAGGAGGAAGCCGTTTGGGGGTGGAAAAGGTGCAGATTTCCTGGGGAGCGCCCAGCGGCGGCAAAGACCTGAAGCCCTCGGAGAGCACGGCCCCCGCCCGCGACCCGGCGCGGGAAGGTGCCGGAAAGGGGCGGAGAACGTCCAGGAGGACAGGGAGGGCGTGGGGTCGCCGCCGGCAGCCGACCGGCCTCGGGGTCTAGGTCGCGGCCGGGTGGGGCGGGACCCGCAGGGGCCGGGCGTG